AAATATCTATATATAGGTAATTATACATATAGTATTATTCAAAAAAACAATAAATTTTTCTTCAAATACTTCTCTTTCTTTTCAATTTCTAATATGGTATCAGAGCGATAAGCTTTTGATTCTTCTTTTATCACTGCTTGGTTACTAAGTTGGATTCTCAAATCTATTTCGGATATGAAACTTTGTCGGTATTTTGTTGAGTGGTAATTTTGATTTTGACATTTATTTCTTCATATTGTTGGAGATTTTTTCAATGTTGTGAGTTCTACTAATTCTATGGTGAGTTTGAAAGAATTGTGACTCATCCTACTATTGCAATAGTTGCCAAAGAGGCAATAGACCAACCTATTGTCAACCCGGAATCTCTAAAACATGTGCTATTAAATCTTCTTAATCCCCCTATTGCCTTATATGTTTCTCCAGGTACTAAACCTTAGTATTTTGATTTTGGTTGTTGTAATCATATGTCTTCAACTGCTTATTTCTCTTCAATGTCACCAAATAATTCTTTTTCTGACATTTATTCCGCTAATGACTCCCTTATGAATGTTAGTCACATCGACAATATTTCTACAAATTCATTGACTTTACCAAACGTTTTCTTGGCTCCAAAACTTAGTTATAATCTTTTATCTATTGGTCAGCTATGTGATCTTGGTCTTGAAACAACTTTCTTTACTCATGATTGTCGTGTGCAAGACCTACAGACAGGACAACTTCTTGGAGCTGGTCACAAGGTGGGGCATTTGTTTGAGTTCAATTATTTGCTTATACCTCATTATAAAATGGATACACCATCATTTCCAAATGACCAATTCATCCAAACCCTACTTTGTATTGCTGAATTAGAGTCTTTGCAAATTCCATATCAACAAATCTTCCAAGCCTGTGTTGCTACTAATATTTATCCTCTTCATTTATGGCACTCACAGCTCAGACACACCTCAGTTGCTAAACTCCATCCTATTATCTCTCATGGTTTATTAGGATCTGTTCTGAATGAATCTTTACATTATGTGTCATGTCAATCTACAAAACAACCAACTTTATCGTTTACTAGTGGTCATTTTCTTTCTACTACTTCTTTTGTTCTCGTGCATTCTGATGTTTGGGGTCCAACTCTGACACCTATCATAGGGGGATCCAGGTACTTTGTGTTATTTATTGATAATCATACTCGTTTTACCTAGATATATCTTATGAAAAATCACTATGAGTAACAACAAATTTATATTGATTTTGCTATCATGGTCAAAACCCAGTTCTCTAAAATTATCAAAGTTTTGAGAACTGACAATGCCACTGAATACCTTAGCACTAACCTTAAATCATTTTTGAAAGAATAGGGTACATTGACACAACAATCTTGTCCTTACACTTCTGAACAAAATGGGCGAGTCGAACGTAAACACAAACACATCCTCAATTATGTTTATGCTTTGCTCATTTCGTCTTCTTTTCTAGAGCAATTTTGGGGTGAAACTGCTCTTATAGTTGTTTATCTCATTAAGTGGATTCCATCATCAATCATCCATAATAAGTCTCCATACAAATGTTTGCATGGTATTCCTCTTGCCTATGATCTTCTTAAGGTTTTTTGTTGTGCTTGTTTTGTTCTTCTTCCACCTCATGAACATAATAAGTTAGAGCCTAAAGCTTGATTATGTTGTTTTTTCTTGACTGATAAAATCATTGTTTAAATAAGTATTTTTATTTAATATATGTTGTAATTTTATCTTTAAAATAAATATAAAATAAAAATAAATACGTTAAATAATATTTTAAAATAAAAAAATAAATAATTAAATTTAAAAGTTCCAAATTCGATATTAAATTTATTAAAGTTAAACAAGGAGCATTACTTAATAGGTTGTTTAGTTTAAGAAAAAGAAAGAAATGAAGAGAGATTTTCCCATTTGACCAATAAACAATTTTCAAAAAAAAGAAAGGGAGAAAATTTTTCTTATTCTACTTTAAAGAAAATGAAGAGACAATTTCCCATTTAACTAATAAATAATTTAAAAAAAAAGGAGAAATTTTCTCTTATTCCAGTTTAATTTCTTTTGATATCATTCTATTTTCTCCCCATTCCTTCCCTTGTAAGAGTACAAAGAAAAATTCAACCCCTACATCACAAAAAGCTGTGCAACTTATCAACCAATTGCAAGGAGCATCGCAATGCATGGAAGGGATTCATTCCAAGGAAAAAATATTCCAGTTGGAGAGGCATATTCTTTTCCTTTTTGGCCTGAGGTTGAAGGTCTTTAATTATAAAATTATACCCATATTAATTAACAAATTTTATAGAGTTTTGTATTTTTTAATTTAAAGTACAAGATACGAACTAAAAAATAATAATAATTTTCAATATTAAATTTTTTTTTATCTAATAATTTAAAACGTAGAATTTAAATTACCATGAATTGTACAATACATTTTGAACTCTATATACCGAAGACAAATGAATATGGAGCTTGCTTTAATTGGTCCTAATTTGCAATTTTTTCTAAACAATATCATGTCAGCAAAATGGATGATACTTTTGCACAAGTAAGCGCGGCGAGTATATACCGTAGTAACCCAATTGACAAAAAGTGACATCAATTTTGCTTGTCCTTTAAGATAAAGATGAAACTCTTCCCCAATTCCAGATTCAAAGCTTCCTATTTTCATTTATTTATATTTATATTTATTTAAAATATATGTTCATACCTAAAGCACACGCATAAATAGCACTATAAATAAACATAATTTTTTATGAACAATTTAATCTGATTACAATCTCATCTATTTGGAGAAAATAGATGATAATTACATGCTTCATTTCATTAAACATTTACTAAGAAAATGACCTCTTTTTTTTTTTTTTTTATACGAAACTATTACAATCATGTTTCACAATAATCACAGGATATTAAATGAATGATTACAACTGACTAAATCAAAGATTGTATCTTATAATTAATGTCTTTTGTTACATGGTATTATAAAAAATTTTTCATCGGAAGATAGTGTGAATGAAGGATACTTCTTCAAAGAAATATTGAATCCGTAGGATTTGTTAAGCTAGCTAGTTCAACATAAAAAAGAACGAAAGATTTGCTAACATTGCAGAAGAAAATGAATTAATTAAAAAAAAAACTACAATCTATAATCCCAACATACACGTTTTTCATTTATTCTAGAAACCGTTTTTCCATAGTTTCTCCTTTGAACATATCATCATACAGTCAGCCATGAAACAATGAAATGGTCAGCAATTCTTTTGTTGACTTGAGACAAATGTCACCTAGAATGGCATTCATATCCAGGAATTTTTCTTCAGTTTTTCCTGAGGAAGAAAAAATGTGTGATTGGCGTTTAAGAAACTTCAACTTGAAGCAGAAACTTCTGTTAGATAGGCATATTGGACAAATTCACAAGTTTTTCCAAACTGCCGGTCCATTCAGTTGATTAATTTGCATTCTAAGCTTTTCATTGCTTCTTTAACATGAACTCAGTTCCTCACCTACCTTTATATATTCAGGGATGATAAGACAGTCTGTTATATGCCAAAAACAATACAGATTTTAGATTATCTCCATACCTGTTTTATCCTCTCAAGGTTGTTTGGATACCAGAAAGGCGCTGATGGAGGATAAGCAAAAGTTCCTCCATGGAACACTGGAAGCTACAATCTTTGATGCAACACCTTACAATCCTCCATTTCCCTTGAATGTAAGTTTCTGATTGAATTATCATAAACAGAAAATTTGGGAATCATGTTTCCATTTCTGTTCTGAATTAATTTTTTGCTCCTTTATTTATTTATTTTTTTGGCAGTGTCTACTTGTAAATGGAAAAGCAACATTTGTCACCATCGAGCTAGATAACAAAAATGTTGCAGAGACTACCCATGAACACGACCGTGTTTGGAACCAAACCTTCCAGATTCTCTGTGCTCATCCATACGATTCAATCATCACTATTACAATGAAAACTAAGTGTTCAGTCCTGGGAAGGTACCACGTCCAGGCACAACAGATTTTGAGTGAGGCTACTTTGATCAATGGATTTTTTCCTCTAGTAATGGAAAATGGAAAGCAGAATCCAGAGCTCCTGCTCAGGTTCATGTTGTGGTTCAAACCAGCGGAGCTTGAACCAACTTGGGGTAAAATATTTAGAAATGGAGGATTCCCAGGTCTGAGGAATGCTACATTTCCTCAAAGATCCGATTGTGGTGTTGTTCTTTATCAGGATGCCCACCATAGCTCTGCATTTCAACCTCCATTCTGTCTTACTCCAAGAAAATTGTGGGAAGATGTATACAAGGCCATAGAAGGTGCTAAGCATTTGATCTACATTGCAGGCTGGTCCTTTAATCCTAAGATGGTTCTGGTAAATGAAACTTCATCACAAAATTTTATCAACATTAATCCATTCTTGTCATATAGTTCCATAATTCTAATATGCTTTAAGGCAGGTCCGTGATCCTGAAACAGTTATGCCGCATGCCAGAGGAGTAAAGCTCGGTGAATTGTTGAAAAGGAAAGCTGAAGAAGGTGTAGCTGTGAGGATCATGCTGTGGGATGATGAAACATCCTTACCATTCATCAAGAACAAAGGAGTAATGGGAACTCATGATGAAGATTCCTTTGCATACTTCAAACACACAAAAGTGATATGCAAATTATGTCCAAGATTACACTTCAACTTCCCCACAGTCTTTACTCACCATCAAAAGACTATAACTATTGATACCCGGGTGAATATTTCTTCAACTGATAGAGAACTCATGAGCTTTGTTGGAGGATTAGATCTCTATGATGGTCGATATGACACAGAACAGCATTCCTTGTTCCATACACTTAATACAGAATCTCACCGTCTTGACTTCTACCAAACGAGTATAGCTGGAGCTAGCCTTCAGAAAGGAGGGCCAAGAGAACCATGGCATGATGCTCATGCCTGTGTCACTGGTGAGGCAGCCTGGGATATACTAACCAATTTTGAGCAAAGGTGGACTAAACAATGTGACCCTTCTCTATTAGTCCCCACCAGCACCATATCCAATCTCATCCACAGTCCCTTTCCTACAAGCATTTCCAATGACAGGAACTGGAAAGTACAAGTTTTTCGATCAATTGACCATGTTTCAGCCACACAATTGTCCAAGAACTTGACTGTGGAGAGAAGCGTCCACGAAGCCTATGTAGAAGCCATAAGACGTGCCGAAAGGTTCATATACATTGAGAATCAATATTTCATTGGAGGATGCCATCTGTGGGATAAAGACAGACACAGTGGCTGCAGAAATTTGATCCCCATCGAGATTGCACTTAAGATAGCCAGCAAAATCAGAGCAAAACAGAGATTTGCAGCATACATTCTGATACCCATGTGGCCGGAAGGTGTCCCAGATAGTGAACCTGTTCAGGACATACTGCATTGGACCAGAGAAACGATGACAATGATGTATAAATTGATTGCAGAAGCCATAAAAAAAAGTGGGGGAAACGGACACCCAAGAGATTACCTGAACTTCTTTTGCCTTGCAAACAGAGAAACGGAGAGAAAAGAAGAGTTTGTTCCTTCCATTTCCCTCCATCCTTCAACCCCATACTGGAATGTCCAGAAACACAGGAGATTCATGGTTTATGTTCATTCCAAACTCATGATAGGTAATGAAACATTGAAAATTTTTCTTACCCCATTTTATTTTGATTGATGAAAATCTAACCCTTTTCTGGGTTTTCCATTTCAGTGGATGATGCATATATTTTGATAGGATCTGCAAACGTGAACCAGAGATCCATGGACGGGCAAAGAGACACAGAGATAGCAATAGGGTGCCACCAGCCATTGAACGGAGAAAGGGATAATTCAAGCACCGGCTACATTCATTCATACCGGATGTCATTGTGGTACGAACACACCGGAGTTGCTGAAAATATTTACAAGGAGCCGGAGAGTCTGGAATGCGTACAGAGAATGCGGATGATCGGAGATGAAATGTGGGAAATTTACAGTGGCGAACAAATTGTGGACATGGAAGGCGTCCACCTAGTGACGTACCCCGTGGACGTGACAGAGGACGGGGTAATCGGCGAACTTGTAAACAGCGACGGGAATTTTCCCGACACGAAGTCTCCGGTGAAGGGACGCAGATCGAAAGTGTTGCCGCCGCTTTTCACCACCTAAACAACATGGCAATTTATTCACCGGAATACGAAAATTGTTGTACACCTACTAATTTCACCAATAATGAAAAAAAATTGTACATGTTCTAAACCCCTGTACAATATATTATTACTAAGCTAACATTCATTTATTTTTTTATTGAGAATAAAAATTCGCATATTTATTTTTTATATTGCAAAGAATTAGTTCTTATCACTTTCAAGGACAGAAACATGCAGTCTACAAAGTACCAGTAATTTTATTAAACTCATACTTCTTTCTTTTGTGTGGCTCATTTTGTCTGGGATCGGGTTGCCTATGTTTTTTAACTTTTGGTTCAATCTCAAGTTTATTGAGATCAAAAAATTTATAAAAATTTATTTTTTATTAATTTTTTTTAAAAAAATAAATTTTAATTAATAAATTAAAAAATAAATTCTTTTACCAATTAAGATGTTGCTTATTGAACTTAAACCTTATATTTTAGAACCTATTATCTTATTATGTGAATTTTATTAGTCTAATCTTATCTCCAGCTAAATTCTAAACGTTATCCTAAGGACATAAAAATTATTTTTTAAATGAAAAATAAGACTTTTGGGTATAATTTTAATATTATAATTTGTTTGACTTGAGAAGATAAATGGAAATTTTTTTTAATTAATTAAATTATAATATTTTTAAATATTATAATATAATTAGTCAAATAATCTTCTTCCCTCTCACCAATTTTTCTCAAACTAAATATAATATTAATAAAAATAAAAATTAACGCATTATGGTATTTAAATGTGAAGATTGTTTAAATACCATTTACTCACAAGATAGCATTTGAATTACTATTAAGTTATCCAAAATTTTTTGCAATCCTTAATTTTAATTTAGGAAAATAATTAGTACACATTTAGTTTAATATATTTTTTGACATATTTTTTGTTTAATCAATAAAAATATAATATAAATATAATCAATTCAGTTTGTTTTTACATTTTATATGTATGATTGTATTTTTAAATTTATTTATTTTTAATTATATTGAAGCAATTATATACCAATCACTATTCATTTAGGAAAATGGTTGGTCATTTTTAATTTACCCAAACATTAAACTGTAAATTTTCAGTTTTCCCCGCGCTCTCTTCATTAAATATAAATTTGCTTCTTCCCTTCGGCAATGGAGTCAACAAACAGCTCTTGGGTACTACTCTCTCTTATCCTTTCTCTATTTTTTTTGGTTAAATGCTAAATTTAGTCTCTCAACTTTACGAAATGCACATTTTTTATCCCTCAACAATTTTTTGCATTTTTTTGATCCCTTGACTCTAAAAATTGCACAGTTTAGTCCCTTCGTCAGTTAAGTATGATGTGATAGTTAAATAATTTTATGTGGCATTGTCTTTTAATTTTTTTGATGATGTGGCAATAATATATATTATATTATGTTATATAAATAAATAAAAATACCACGTAGATTAATATTTATATTTTAATTAAAAACAAATAAAATTATCTCATTACCCTCACCCTCCCAATCCCTTTTCTTCCCCTTCTTTCTTTCTCTTTCTTTCTTTCTTAGCCTGGGTCTCCGTTAGATTCCGATGGCTGGGTTCAACGAAACCCAGATTTGCTGGGTCTCATCGAACCCAACCTGGTTGGGTTTCCCCAAACCCAACAAGGCTGGGTTTCGACGAACCTTGCTGGGTATCGCTAGGTTGGCTGGGTTTGACAAGACCCAGCCAGGCTGGGTTTCCCCGAACCCAGCAAGGTTGGGTTTCCCCGAACCCAGCCTTGCTGGGTTTGTCGAGACCCAGATCGGCTAGGTTCTGATGAACCCAGCCTTGTTGTTTTGACGTTGGGTTCATGTTTTTTCATTCTTATTTCGATTTCCATTCCTAGTTGTTAATAAATTTGGGAGTTGATTTACAATTTGATTGTATTTTTGTTGAAATTTGATTAGAGTTTAATTGATATTATTTATTGAATGGTTAATTTGATTTGATAAGATCTACTAAGTTTGGGGCTTCAATGAAACCTAGTAGCTAGGTTCAATGACAAAGAATTCCAAATTTCTCAAGTTCTCCTGAGAAAAGAGAAGAAGAAGAAATGGGTTAAGATCGGTTTTGTAGATGAAGTGGAGATGAGAGAGCATTTAGAGAAGATGAAGAAATGGGTTAAGATTGATTCTGCAGATGGAGTGGAGATTGATTTTGCAGAGAGTGAAGATGAGAGAGGAAGATGACATGTCATCAAAAAAGTCCAAATCAGCACATTTTTAAGTTGTTCTCGTTATGTCATAAAAAAAAAAATAAAAAATGCCATGTGACCGAGTTAACGGCCCAAATTGACAGAAGAACTAACGGAGTGCATTTCATATAGTTAATGGATCAAAAAAGTACAAAAAATTATTGAGGGACCAAAAATGTGCAATTCACTAAAGTTAAGTGACCAAATTTAGCATTTAACCATTTTTTTCCTTCACTTTCTGTTTGGTTCTCAAGAAAATTTAAGCATTCGAGTCCACCTGAATTCTTTGCTTTGCTTTTCGATTTATCTACTTTTTTTTTTTTTAATTTTGAGATAAAGCAAATTTTCTTTTGAACTTTGATCTGGATATGGAAAAACAAAGGGAGCGAGCTCATTGACGATCGGCGAGAGGCTCTGTGCGGTGCGGCGTTCATTCCGTTCGTTAGCTTGGTTGAAGCTCTCATCTTCAGCCTAACTTCTTGCTTCCACCGTCGCTCTCCTCCTCCCCTCCGCTGCACCTTCGACGACATCGTCCACCTCGCCAAACATCTCCTTGTGTGTATACAAATTTAATGTATCTGTCGGTATATATAGTTTGATTTTGAGTGTGATTGATGGTTTTGCAGTCGGCATCAACGATGTGGAGGCCTTATACGAATTGTATGAGAAGTTGAGCAGTTCGATTATTGATGATGGCCTGAAATTTCGATTTCTTCACATCTGTTTGCATTTTTATTTTTTATTTTTTAACTTTTTTTCTAATTTTTTTGGAAATTAAGAATTTTGAATCTTTAAATAAGGTATAGAGCTCGAAAAATTATGTCATTCAGATTTAATTTGATAAATGACATCTTTTTTTTTAACATGAGAGAATTAATTTGATAAATAACATCTTTTTTTTTAACACAAGGGAATTAAAGAAAAAGATAAAATTCAAACTCCACATCTTAAATAAAATGTCCTTAACAATTAATAGATGATCATTTGAGCCACTTAGTACTTCTCAATTTTATAGATGGCATTGAGAATTGGAAATGGGGAGGAAAATACTATAATATTACTTGATATTGATTATTTGAGAGGGGATTCATGGTTAGGGCTCAGAGGTGTTCGTGTTAGGTTTATTGTAGTGCCAAGTGTCAAGGAGTACCTTAGAGATGCTTAGTTTTCAGCTTATTTTGCTGATAAAAAAAAAAAACACATTTCTAGAAGTTGTATTGTTGCATCTCTAAGTTACTCTTCAATTTTTCTTTCCTTTTTTATCTTTTGATTGTTGACATGGATGATGAATTTTGTCATTTAGGATTTCCTTTAAGATAAAGATTCTTCTTAATTTCCTTTGTTTTGATCATTTCAAGGAAGAGCTTCGATTGGCACTATTTCAAACTCAACCAAGCGAGAATCTTTTTCTGGATAGGGTAAATTTTATTGCTGCAATCTTACCCCTTCTTTTCATTTTATTTTTTATATTCTATGTCTTGATTAATCCATTTCATAAATTAGATGTTGTCAAATATTTACTTGGATCCAACATATTGGCTCCTGTTAGAGCACTATCTTTTGTCGTTTGCACTTTACTGATGGAACCATGTTCACAGGGTAAAATAGTTGAGACTTTCTTAGACATGTTCTAGCACCCATCTGGACCTAGTTAGTTTTAGCTAACAAAATTAATCTAGTGCATTGCATTTAGTTCCCAAGTTTATCTGATCCTTTGGCATCTGCTGTCAGGGATGGGAGCCGGATCCATGAATATTCAAATATGTTTTTCCCTTTTTCTGTTTCAATAAATAAAATTCAATTCTGCAGTACATATATTGTTCTCCATGTAAATTATGTTCCAGGCTACCAGCAACAATTTGTTGAGTGTTTCAGTGAGTTTATTCAGTGGTCAACCATTCTGTCATTGCAATATTCCTTCGAGACATAGAGATTGTTTAAAACTATCTTTTTAATTCTTTTTCTTTCTTTTTCAATATTAGCTGATAACAGAGGCTGTTTATATTTTTCATACCGCTGCACAATGAGTTTGCTTATGTAGTTTAAGTGTTTAACGATTCATTTCCAATTTCCAATGATTGGAAGGCTAAGTGAACATATATTTGTTTCTGCGTTTTTAAGTTGGTGAAGATGAAATTGTTCAATTAGTT